GTCCATGTCAGATCAATGTCTGGCAGTTTCCACCTTTTCTCTTTCTTACCTATCCATAAAAGTGCAGTATTTTCTTTGTTTATTTTAGGACCCATCATTTTTTCCCGAATTCTTTTAATTAATTTAAAGTTACTAACCCGACATCACCTTCAAAGAAAGTTGTATCATTGTTCGGTTACCCAACATTATTATTGTCTGTTTATCTCTTACCATTACCATATAACAGTTTAGTAATGTGACGATCTTGACCACTACTTTCTCTTAGTATATTTTGGTATCGTTTGATTAAAATGTATTATTTTGTTCATCTTTATAATCATCTTGCACTTGTCATACCTGTCCGTTTGGCTCACTATTAAATATTTACTGTATTTATAACTGTATTGTATAACTTGCAAACATGATCAGTTTTGGTCCTTGGACCTTTTAATCATGTATATTTATATGTCTTTTTCAACCGAAAAAAACACCAAATTAAATCGGTGTAATCAACCGACAATCCTATCGTGAACGATTCTCACGTTAAACACCCCTGAAAGGCCTATATATCCTACTTGTGTTTCCAAGGTATCACTTGCTAAAATATGTTGTGTTCTTAAGGCCAGAACTGTTGAAATTATTTTTTAGTCACAATTAAGCAGTGTAACCGGCCTCCAGTCTTTTAACCCACCGATGTTCCCCTTTTTTATAAATCAATGTGATAAGCCCTTTTATCTGCAGCCGACCTCTGCCCTTTATTAAATGATTCATTGAATGCATTGACTAGAAGTACACATACTTCATCCCAGACAATTTGATAGAACTCGATAGGTAGGCCGCCTATTCCTGGTGCTTTGTTCCTTTTCATGGGAAAACAGCCTTTTTGCATTCTGATACATTCATTCAACCCTCACATTTCCCTTTGTCATCTTGACTGAGCTCTTTCACTTCTTGTGAGAACACATAGTCGTTTACACGGTACTGAGTCAATACAATTCCTTTTGTACATACCTTCATAGTATCGTTGACCTCTATTAAAACATGATGTTGCTTAGTAACCACAGTTTCTTCTGGGTGATCATTTTGTTTTTAACATTCTTCTTTTCGAGAGATAAAAAAATCATTTGTATTTTTTCACCATCGTCTATCCATTCGACTCGTGACCTTATTCCAGCACCCCTACATTCGTTTTTGTATAATCTCTCTAACTTTTCTTTCACTTTTACATATTCTTCTCTTGATGTGTTATCATTTTGGTTATCTATATTACGTTCATAATTAGCGAAATCTATTTCTAATTTTCTTTTTTCCCCTTCTTTTTACACTTTCCTTTGCTAAATTTCTGAGCAAATTCTCTACATTTAATCTTTAAGATTTCCAAGTTCATAACATCTGAATTTCCATCACTGTTTAGACATTTTGTTATAATATTTCTGATTCCTCTCTTAAATTTGGTGTCACTGAGATAGGAAGTATTCAGTTTCCAATATCCAGGACCTTTTCTTAATTCACTCATCCTTAATTTCAGAGAGATTGCAATAGGATCTAACTTAATGACAGGTCGAATGCCTGTAGAAACAACTTTTTCCAACAAATCTTTACTTACTATCCGATAATCTAACCGTGACGCTATATTCATATTCAAATCTCTCTGAGTAAATTGTTGATCATCTTCATGTAATTTCCTCGCGGCATCTACAAACATTTTTGTTTTAGAAGAGTTTTATAAGTCTGTAAGGAATTTTGTAATGACATTTTTGTTTACCCTTTGGTATCTTTTAGTAAATCCAAAAAAGCATTCCAATCCCCGCCGAAGATTAAAATACACTAATTAAATTCTTTTTGGATACAATCAATTTGTTTTCGAAGCTTTTTGAAGAATTTATCTTTGTTTTTGTTCCGTTGGAGCATACACATGAATCAAACAGCAATTGACAGAGTTTTTCGTGAATCTAAGTAACAACATTCTTCCTGTGTTGTCTAAACACTAAAATATTCATTGTAGTCATGTTAATATCAATATTTTCCTTCTCTAAAACTGCGACACCTCTTGCACGATGCCCGCCCCCCCCCCCACTCAGTGTTATTTAGGGTACGCATATGCGTGTTCCCACCACCCCCCCCCCCTTTCAGCATAAGTCCGGTGTGTAAAGACAATACGGGTAGACCTTTTTCTTTTTTTACGAGCCGGAGATTTTGGGAATACGCATGCGGTCCCTCCGTTCCAGGAGTTGGGGGGGGGGGGCGGGGCACGATGGCTTCCATGAGAATAAAACACTTTTCCCTTCCACTCACTATTAATGCCTGGCTCGATATCCAGTGTCCAATACGTTTCTTGGGCAAACACCAGGTCAGTCTTTTGGTTTATAAACCACTTGAAGAAAATGTTGCGCTTGGTTTTCTTGCGCAATCCCTTAACATTGACACTTTGAAGATGACACATAGTCATTATCATGAAGGAAAATTAAAAATTGCAACACAAATTAAATTAAAACAACATGACTGTTTTAGGGATTTCTTCTCCTTCTTGAGTTTCTGCTTCTTAGGCTTCTCCAAGTCTATTTGAGATCTAGCCGTCGGCATCTCTGGAGATTCTATGAATATTTCTGATTCCGGACCTTCATCTGTATCGATCTCTACACGTTCGCCATCACTTGATTTGTCTCCGGTAGTTTCCATGTGGACATGTGTTTGCTCTGCGTGCATATCGCGTTCACTTTGAATGAATTGCGTGGTCTTGCTTTGTGTGCTCTCTCCTACGTTTTCCTTGCTCATTGACTGATGTATCATCGGGGTAACATCTCTGCCCGCGATTCGGGAACATCCTGACTGTCCGCTGTTCGACGCGTTGTCTTGGTGACGCTCCGCTTCGGCTCCGCTGTGGTATTCTCATCTCGATCATGGGTTCTGAATTTGCCGCAGCCAAATTGCGAGGTCTTGTGTCAAAAACTCAAAACCCAAAATTCAAAATCTGACAAATTCAAGCAAACTTTAGTCCAAAATGAATAGATCTCCTGATATCTCTTAATTATACAGTTTTCAGTTCCTACTGGTCTTTTTCACAACTTATCCTTCAATGTCTTCGATGTGGAGAGATTTTTCAAGAGCTTCATGAAGTCTATAACTTACACGAAAGAGTGGAAATAGCGCCCTCCTATAAATAAGTGTAATACTACAGACTTATCTCTATCTTTTTCCGAGGTTTCGTATCTCTTACCGTTACCAGAATTACATCATACACACCATACCCACCAAATAAACGCGTTTTGTTTTTCTTTCACAAAATAGCCATGCAATATATTTTCATATTATAATAGTGTTACATAATATTCTTTTTGTAAGACAACAAACCGTAATCAGTTTATTTCTCTGCCATCAGTCTCTTCTCGATATAATCTGATGAGTAATTTCTTTTCGTTCTTAAGTCTCAACTACCATATATGTGTCCTTAAATCAAATTATTTCCCCTTTTTTTTTTCCAATTCTACTATTTTCCATCATTTAATTGATAGTCTCAAGTCCTCCATTTAACTATCCCTCATAATGCTTCAAAGTCTGTGAGAAAAATATTTGATTCTATTCTTCATTTGTTGTATTCATTCTAAACTTATATCAAAATTAAAAATATATCTGCGTCTCTTTATCATTAATTTCCTCGACTATTTCTCCTCTTCTATAATTATTTCTCAACTGCTATTATAACCATTTTTTCGGCATTTCCCAATAATTTGCCTGGTTTTTCTTTTGGATCCATTTCTTATCAATGAAGAGCCGGTCAGGTTCCGCCCGCAAAATGGAGGTTAACAGCCTTGCCTTCCGTGCAGTGGCGGATCAAGGGGGGGGGGGGGGGGGGGGGCCGGCCCCCCCCCCCCTTGAGAAAAAAAATCATGCAAAATCACGCGATTTTTACCTTTGTTGGGGGGGGTGCAAATTTTAAAATTTTCGAGGACCAAAAAAAAAAAAATTGTGCTCACTACGACAAATCGACGAATCCCGGCACCAAGGTTTTCAAAGGCCTTGATTTTGAAGCAGCTGGAAATCGATCCTCTCCACTTCTGCAGGTTCCACCTTCAGCTTCTCTTGTAGGAATTTCTCTTCACAACTTCCTCAGTTTTCGGGTTCTCTAATTCTACCTCCTCTTCTGGTGTTTCTAATATAAGACTTAGAGCTGAAAATCTTCCACCCTTTTCCTCACTTCTTCATGATGATTTTGTATTTCCTCTTGTATTTAGAAATAGTTTTAGTTTTCAGCTTATTATGTTCTTATAAAAGACCAGTTGGAGAGCTTTGATTGAACTAATAGGTTGTATAGCTTTATTGAGGCTCTATGTCAGTCAGACATCTTTGTAGTCATCTGATGTACAAGTACTCATTGTTTCATAACATGACCTGGCATGAATCATGGGTTGCAGGTCATTCTATATTTAGTTATACATGCTAGTCTGTATTTGTAGACTCTGTTAAACTACATGTAGCTATCACTACACAGCTCGTCAACTTTGTCTCTTTGATCTCACTGAATTAATCAGTTCCGATATTTTAGTTTCCATGCATGTCTTTCACTTCACTGCTGCTTCTCGAATTTCGTTTTTCAAAGTGTCTCAAAGGTTGGCCAGCCTTATACAGCCATAGTACAGCCTTATTACCGGCGAATTTGTCAAGCATCGTTTCCACGGCTACCATGCCTCTGTTATTAGAGCGAGTGCCGCAGTCGAACTCAATCTCGAACGTGTTTTCACCTATGTGCGCAATATCAAATATAATTGTACAGCTGCTTTTCGAACGAGAAGCGATTATAATTCCCGCCGAAGCTTTCCGCCGCCAAGCGAACAGATATACGCCACTTCAAACAAAAGAAGGAGATCGGAGTTCACGTGGCGTTTAACACACTATTGAACAGGAACACGGGAGGGGAGCCCTTCAAAAGCGTCACACGACGATGGTCATATATAGTTACACATATTGGTAGAGGTCAGTTACACATATCTGTAAAAATCTTTAAAGGAATGATTTGTACTTACAACTAGTAGAACTTGAAGTTGCGTGTAGATGACGAAAAACAGAAGTAGACTACTAGTGGAAAAGGTGTAGGTTGATGATGGGCAAATGAAACTCGACACTTCTACTGTAGTTGGGTTCCTCAGCTAAAGTGTTCGGATATGAAGTCCCCGTGCAAAATTATATACACAAATTCTATTGGAAATCCTGATGTCAGGAAAAGTGATTATAGAGTCGAAACATGCCCAGCTTCCTTTTATCCAAAGTAGAAAATACACTAGACGAACAGAATTCTGAATTATTATATTCACGCTATAGTGTTCGGATATGAAGTAAAGTCCCCGTGCAAAATTATATACACAAATTCTATCGGAAATCCTGATGTCAGTAAAAGTGATTATAGAGTCGAAAATGTAAACAAGTCCAGCTTCCTTTTATCCGAAGTAGAATATACACTAGACGAACAGAATTCCGAATTATTATATTCACGCTATAAATTAATGTTACTAAATACCGGAGGCCTCGAATAAGCGAAAACAAGATGGCCGCATCTGACGAGCAACAAGCGTTGTAGACGGGGTTGTAGCGGAGTGTAGCAACCAGCATGCGAATGAGAACTGAGCGAGTTGAGAAAAATCGCTAATGAAAATGTCCGTGAAACGGGAAAATCCACTCGCTAAAATATGGAGAACGAGGTTTCAGAAAACCATGATTAGTCAATCGAGAAAAATAAACCATGGCTGCCAGGTGCTAAAGTTAACTATGGCAAGAATGTTGTTAACATGAAAAAAGTACGAAGGCAAAATGGCGGCTACATTAAAAAAAACTACATATCCACATACGTAGCCACACACATCCTGCATCCTATTCTCTCTCCTCTCTCCTCTCCCTCACTCCCTCTTTTCCTCCCTCCCCTTTCTCTCTCTTCCTCTCCATCTCTCTCGTGTGTGCCTCACCTCTCTATTCTTCCTATTTAATAGCCTCCTCTCTCTTTGTCTTACTTTCCTCCATTTCTCCCTCTTGTCTGAAGGAATCGATTGATTTGCTATTGAGTATGATACAGATTCATGCCTAAAATTACAAAATAGATAAGCATCCCTATCATAGGGAATGAAAAGATGGAAACTCACCTTTGATAAGCAAAATCCTCCTTGTACACGGATGAGAATGGTAAATGCCAAGTCAAAGTCACTTGTTAAAACTCTAGTCGACGGTATAATGAATTGGTTACAAAATATTAATTTATATATCGATACTTTATTCACAGACAGCACTGAATGTATGATTTCACCCTGGTTCTCCTTTATCAAATGAAGTTTCTGTATGGTAGCATTTGCTCATATTTGGATTGTATGTATACAACAGCGAGGCCTTCAAGCTTGGATGGTTATCAGGCATAATAAAATACCCCGACACTAGATTGAAGCGCATTAATATTGAATGGATTCCATATTTATTTACGCTTCGCACACCCTCTTGTTAAAGCACCCTAGTGGCCTATCAATTGCTCATATTTTGGAAGGTATATACAACACCGAGGCTTTGGTAAAGAGAAGGTTGAGTTCTGGAAAGAGGTGAAAAATAATTTGTGAGCGTTATCATTCGTATTATGCAAGTGTGGAAGAACATCAGATAAGACATGTTCCCTGAAAAGCATGGCTCTCAAATGCCTTCATATTCTAAATATGGCGTGTAAAATCGTAACAATCCAGGGTAGAATTTTTACGCCACGTGTTCGTGTAGTCCCATATACATCTTTCTTATCATTTTGATGATTCCAGAACCTTGCAATACACCCAAATTCTGATATGCTAGATGATCAACATTTTCTGGTCGATTCCACACCGTTTCTTTCACAATGCAATCGCATGACCAGAACTCAACTTCATCATTAAACTTGGATGGTCATCACGAATGAAAAAAAAACCGACTAGAAACGGATCTATTGAATGTTTAGAAATAACGTGGGTGTATGGACTATATTGCGTGTTAACTAGCAACTCCACATAATTCTATTTGTAATTAAACTATGTTAATTAATCCTGTGATCGAAACTTATGAATGAACAAGGTCAAATATATTGAATAGTATTCAGGAAGGTGGTTTAGAAAACATTTAGAAATTCTAAAAAATGATTTATTTTTGTTGACGTCACAGCTTCGGTACCAGTGAATTATAATTGAATGTACTGTTAATACATTAGTCGCTACAGTACAAATGGATTCCATTTTTCTTCACGCATTCGCATGCCCTCTAGTAAACCCCCTAGTAGACTATCAATATCGCAAAGCACAATGAAAATAAACTAACCGTAAACTAATATGTTTTTCTTTCAGGTTTGGGTTTTGGTTATAAACAATCTAGGAATCTAGGAATCTAGGAATATCATTTAAAATTTGTGACTTTTTCCACCATAAGTTTATGATAAGCCTTGAATTGCTAGGAGGTACTCCCGCTTGTTAACTAATGTATGTGGGGTCATTATGGATGATAGATTAAAGGCACATTGTCCTACTTGTAGCTACTTGCTCCCTCTATATAGAAAACTTCCCCAATCGGTGCCTGTTGGTCCCCCATGATCCTCTTTTTCTTATGTTAAATGAGAGCTGAGTTAATGAGATAGCCACCTGTCACAGTACCCTCGCTGGCTCGCTGGGTGGTCTTATCCCTTCTAGCTGAAGTAGTAAAGCCTGCCTTTAAGTTGGAACAATCATATGTCTGAGACAGCATGCAAAATATTAAAAGCTTTTTGGGGCGTTCACGGGGGCGTTCAATCGAGAAGTTTAACATCAAGCGAGCGAACACCCAGCTCAATGGGTGGGTGTTCGCTCGCTGAAGCTCGGCTGTTGTTTGTACTGTTGCATGCCAGCTCACTGGGTGTTTCGCTTCACCTTGTCTGCTGTTCGTATGCCTCCCGTTGCGTGCCACCTCCCTCTACTGCGTTGGTGTATACAGTGTGAGTCCAAAAAAAAGTTTACACCTAGAAATTTGATAATTATTTTCAAAATCATGTATGAACTGTAAATTATTATACATCTTATGAAAGAGTGTTTTAACCCAAATCACTTGATATCATTTTTGTGTGGTATGTGTCCACGCTTGGATGAACAGGAGGCATTGTTTGTGAGAGTGGAAAAATTGACTTGCGCCAAAGTTGCTTATGTGATGTTTGAATGAAACAATTGTGATTATGGTATTAATTCGGTCTTTGCAGATCCAAGTAACATCCCTAACAAAATTAATCATGCCACACATACCAAATATCGAATATCTAATATCAACGAACGCGCGTGTATGTGTGTGTGACTTTGCTTCTGCAAAAAGCATATGCAATGCAATTCATTCTCTTACTCCGCTAGTCCCAACATAATACGTACTGTAGGCATCACTGTGGCGCAAGTCGATTTTTGCACTCTCGCAAACAGTGCCTCCTGTTCCTCCAAGCGTGAACACATACCACATAAAAGTGATACCAAATGATTTGAGATAAAACACTCTTTCATAAGATGTATAATGATTTACTGTTTATAGATAATTTTAAAAATAATTAGCAATTTTCTAAGTGTAAACTTTTTTTTTTTACTCATACCCCAAAATAAAAATATAAAATTAGGACTACATTATGTAACTAAAACCAAAAACAAGTTGCACACGTTATGAAAAATACAACAAAAACATGAGGAGTTATTGTTTATAAATATCCTATTATTTCATAAAAGTCAATAAAAGGATGGTAAATGGATTAAAATTGGTTCATTTAAAACAGCCGACTTGGGGGGGGGGGTGGAGACAAGCACTCAGTTTACCTGCAAAAGGCTGCAATGACGATGAAAGTATTTAAATGACTAAATCATTAACATGCAGTAAATTCTACTTTAAATCAAATTGTATAAAGGCTCCAAGAATGTTGCTAGTTTGTGCATTGCATATAGTAGAGTTAGTAATGGAAAGAACTTCAGGAGGAGCAGGATTTTTCATAAAAGTAACCTGCGGGGTAAAACACTTTGGAGGATTGAGTGACATATTGTTTGATTGTGACCAGTATTGCAGTTAAGAGTTAAGTGTGGGTTGTAATTGTGAAACGTCTATTACGACATTGTACACAAAATAAATCATCGACAAATGAATTTGGAGTAATGTAACATATTTAGGCAAACACTGAAAATCTAAATATTGTTTAACCGTCAAAGTATTAGATTTTTAATCCTTTCCACTGAATCCACTATCATTCACAAATAATATTATCCATTGTTTGTTTTACTTTAGCTACGGTGCTACCCCCCCCCCCCCAACACCCACCCACCCATACAAACTGCACTTAACTGCAAACCTGCCAAAATGACATTATTTTTCAGCATTGGTAGCAAATAGAAACGAGATGATAGAGAATGAATACCATGGCGACCAGGGTTCTCCCTTATCGTGCATGACATACGAAGAGTTTAATTCCAAAAGGAGCTAAATCAAATTTTGATGAAAATTGTGTTATTGATATCAAAACAATATTGTTCACTTAAGTACCTGCCTTTCAACAAAAGTATTTACCCAAATTTTAAGAGCAAGTATTAACAAATGCACCCTCTAATATCAATTTTGCATCGACGCCTGTACAAAATCTGGTAAAAAAAAAATCTTTTTCCTCTGAAGTAGAGAAAAATGGATAAAGCTCCTTTTGGAATTAAACTTGTCATAGACATACCCCTATTATCCAATCAATGAGTCATTGCATGGACACCTCGATTCAGTACAATTGTTGGAAACCGAATTTAATACTGTGATTCGGATATGAAGGTTATCATAAACTGATGGATGCAGTGTTGAGAAAGCGCCAGCAAATACTAATGTGGCAAAGTGATGTGGATCAATTATTCAATTTCCGCCATTCGAGGCCAATATGTAATGATAAATGCAACAACAATATAGAGAGAAAAAAAAGAAGAAAGACAATAGCCTACATAGTTGACGACATCAATATATCACTTTTCTCGTTAACTTTGTTGACATGGCACCAATGAAGCTCGATTCATCAAAAAGCTAATACTCATATTAAAGTTCATATTTTTATTCATGAATATACAAAGTATGATAATGACAGACAATTATTGAGGAAACTTCACCATATTTTAAAATGTAAGTGCGATGATAGAATAGGTCCAAATTTAATGACAGGTAGTAGTTAATCAATGACATTTGAACAGGAGAGTCTACTTTAAGCCCTCATTTAGATACCCCATACAAAAACAGCATTTCTTCATCTGTTTCTTCTTCTTTCTTCCTTCCTTTTGTATTTATTATACGTTTGCTTTGGTACCTAGATGCATTATTACGGAAGCCCATTAGTGCCACCATACGAAATAAAATTTAAGAGGAATTATCTGGCGGCCGCCAGATAATTAAGTGGCGGCCGCCAGATAATTATGTGGCGGCCGCCAGATATTTAGAGGTCTATAACAGCTGCATAATGGTAGGATATTGGAAGCACTGGTCCCCTTTCCAAAATAATGACACAACTATATGACTAATACATCATATAAGCCAAGAATATGTTATATAGTACCTTGTCATTGTAACCATGGCAACATGAATTAGAGTTAGCAAGATGCCATGTACGGTACTATATGCCAAATTTTGGCTATATCTTGGGATTGGAGGGCTGTTGAAAGTTCATTTTGGTGTCTATACCCAGGTTTTCAGGCCTACAGAGTAAATGTTTAGAATACCTTACCATGAAGAAAAGTAATGAAATGCAAATTATATTACCATTTATAACGGTTTCCATAGCAACGACACCAGAATA